ACATTGAAAAGCACTTAAACAGAGTGGTCATGTGCCAACCTGCATGTCTGTGTCTGACTTTGTGCATTTGTAAATACTTTTGAATGATTGATCTGGAAACCTTGTGGTCTTGCCTAAAGCCTGTCAGGTGCAGGGCGGGGGGGGGGGGGGGGAGAGAAGAGAGAGAGGAAGGGAGAGGTCAAACAACAGATGAGATCCAGTACTTTCTTTCTTCATCTCTCACACGCAGGCACACATACCCTCCACCTGTCAAAATTACACGTACCTTGGGATGACTTGAGAGTAAGTACGTGAGTGCGGTTGTGTTAGAGTGTACACCATAGGAGAAACACACCGGTGTTTTTCACGTTTGGTTAGAAAAGCACACAGGATATGTGTTAGTATGTGATATTTTTCAGATATGACTGAGTGCCATTAAAGGTAGTCACAGTCTCGGTGTGTGTTTGTGTGCAAATCTAATTAATGACTGGCAGTTGTCCCCCGCAGCTCTGGTAATGGGCTTAGATCAGTGCTATAAACAGGGCGTGAAAGGTCTCCCCAGCGCTGGCCCTTTAAATGATTGGCTTCTCGTTCAGGTAGATGGATGGAAATGTTGTAATATTAATGATCATGTCCCCCGTCGACCTGTTGTGAGGTCATATGAACAACATGGGCCTCAGCCTCAAACAACAATTAACAGGCAATGGGCCGGCCTGTTTGACATTTTTCATCACTCACACCACCTGCGGACCCCCACCAAACACATGTCTGTCACTATATACACTGATGTGAAAAATATGCAGCTGTAATGGCAGGGCATTCATCCTTAACTTCATCTAGTTGTTTTTTATTCTGCTTGTTTGTGTCCAATATTAATGGAAAAAAATAATTACATTTGTTGATCTATATTTGACTAAAACCTCTGCAATATGTTTCTATATAGGACAAAATCATGGAGGATTAAGTTTTTAATAACTGACATAAACATATTGTTTGAATAAGCTTGTTTGGATGACCTTGCATTACACATGATTTATAGGTTAGACCTACATGTTGAATTGATTGTGTAATTACATCTCAGGATAATACAGATTGTTCTGAAAGCCTGTTTTTTTTCTTTTTTCCAATGTTTCTGGATACATCATCCCTTATGACCTCTGACTCTCACAGCACATTCATATTCATGGATCAGTCCTAAGCAGGGTTGTGAACACATGAGGTTACACATTACCGACGCCCCCACACATTCCAGTTAACCATTGACCAGTCGACCCAGTTAGCCATCACACCGAGCCTCAAAAATTTGAGCTTGTATTCTTAAAATAAATGAATCCCACAAGTGGCTGTAAACAAAACGTCACAAAGAAGTGAGGAATGGTTAATCTTTGTCCTGAGTGTTTTCTTTGTCTGGCATGCATGAAGTGAAGATGCATAATCTGTGTAAATAGTTAAAAGGGCTAATTCCCAACATTGTAACTGTTTCTCGGGCTGCTGTGTTTGACTATGTGTGCATTGGCTAGGTAAAATGGCAATTTTTTTAATGACATTATTTAAAGAAAAAAAGGATCAAACTTTATAGCTAGAAGTGCACTGTATGTGCTTTGCGGGTGTGGTGGCACCTAGGTGATGTGTTATCTCACCATGGTTCAAGTAGGTGTCATACCCTGAAGATGAGGTAAACTTCAAAGCATGGAAAATGTATGAGACAAACTCAACAGTTTGAATTTCTTTTAAGTATTATTATTTTTTTTTTACAGTTTAGTTTCCTGCTATTTTTGAAATTCAAAGCTAACTTCATGGCTTCTACAGACTTTGTCTCTCTCTCTGTCTCTCTGTGTATCACACGTGCAACCGCAAATGTTCTGGTGATGTTGGACTGGACACTCCCTTGCCCCTCTTTGCGCCCTCTGTTGCTTCACACAAGCTCCCTACATTCTCCGATCCGGTGCCAAATGGACCGGGGCAGATGCTTCTTTGATGTACTCGAGTTCCCTGGACTGTTTGAGTCGGAAGTTTTACAGCTGACTTGTCAAAACTGTTGATTCACCATCACTTTTGGAGAGCACCTTTTCTGAAATGGGTGTCACACAAGTACCAATGGCTTTCTGTTTAAACACAGAAAGTTCTATTACACAGCTCTCTCTCATCACGTCATCCCCAAGGGAGCACAAGGCCGATTTGAAATCCAAGGTTTTCTGCCTGTCTGTACTCTGAAGCACCCGGGTCTGAAGAGAAATTGAATTGAATGGCCGTTGAATTGGTCTTAATACGCACATAAAGCAAATATGGATAAACACAAGAGACACTTGTACTTATCAAAGAATATTCATTATGCTTTTTATCTGCAGTCTATGATGCCACAGCCAAATCTTAACAAGTTATGTGAGACTCAAGTGTTCTCATTCAGCTGTCCCGTTGCAAACAGTTCATTTCATTGGACCCTCTGGGGCTGCCACAAGTTAGTCTGGAAGTGTTTGTATCCTCGCAGCAGCAGCAGAGCTATCTGGCTATTTTGAGCTATTGATGCTAAGCACTGGACATTAATCTACTCTGCCAAGATACGCTTTGAAGAAAGTGTCCATTGAAGTGTCACAGATGGGGAATAAATGAAATTAATAAATATATGGTACACAGTTTGATATCTCTTATAGGCCAAGATCAAAGCAAACCAATTGAGTTCCATTCTACCTAATGTGTTTTTCTGTGATAAACAGTCCAGCTGAGGGAATAATCCCATCAAGGAAGAGAGAGATTAAAAATAAAAAAAATAAAAAAGCATCAGATATATCAGTCAGCACAGACGGCTGGCACGGCTACCGTGAAGCATCCGTGTTATTATGGGATTGGTAATCTCGTTTCTTGGGTCTGAGTGGAAACGTGGACCTTTTTCTTGCGCCTTGTGGTTTTTCTTCCAGAATCAGGTGCAGACACAGAGACAGGAAGACAGACACAGCAGCCCTCTGATACTGTGAGGCTCCATCTGCTTCAGAGGGCTCTGTTAACTTCTTGTCTTTCTTTTTTTCTGTGGAATTTCTGAGCAGCTTGATGTATTTGACACATGTGTGACAGCCGTGGTTGTGTGCGATTGGGGTTGAGGCATCACGCTCGCTACCCTGGCTGTGTGTTTTCTTAGGATGGGCTTGTTTGTGTGTGTATCAATTGGAGCCATGAACACACACACAAACAGTATGAAGACACACTTTTGTGCTTGTGTGCACAGCAGTGGTTCGCGCACTCGCGCTAAAGCAGACTGTGATGATCTTACTTATAAAGCACACATGCGCACATCTAGATGGAGCCAGGATGTAGACGGACTCACCGAGCCGCACCGCTGAAAAAAAAAAAAAAAAACACATACTGATACACACAGATGTAAAAACATACACAACACTAGCCCAGAGCCTCACCTTGATATCTTGAGCTTCTGTCATGAGTCAGAATTTGACACCATCGAATGTATGTCAGGTTGTCAATTTCTTCCAGCAGCCTTTGAATGCAGTCTGGTCATGAATAGTGCATGTTGTTTTGTTTTTTAGAGTCCAACTGTCTGCAAGTCTGTTTTTGTTTGTTCCAGACTAACTTGGAAGGCCTGTACACTCATGTGCATCCTTTAAGAAAACTTTCAGCAGGTGTTGTGTTGTTTAGCCTAAGGTAAAGATTCAGCCCTGAAGGTAAATTCACCAAACTGCTTCAGATCTGATGCCCTCCCATTTCTGCCTCCATTATTGGGATCTCTTTGTACTCCCCTCCTGTCTTTATTCAGGTACTAGTTTAAATGTTTTTTCTCTTTCTGATCCAGACCACCTTTTGAGTCAGGAAAACACATACTTTAATACCTGCAAATAAATGTTATTAACAGGACATTTTTTCTCACTCTTAAAGTCATGACATGTGTTGGCAGCTGATTCCCAACGCCCCCTGTGGTGTGCCTCATGAATTCTTGGGCATTATAAGGGCAGAAGAAACGCGAGATGCTCGTTGTAAATGTATCGGAAATTTATCCAGGGTCTGATCTCCAGCCCAACTGCTTGGTGGCATGCTAAACTTTTAAAGTGGGAAAAAAATACAGTGGCATGTCGGTGACATTTCTGCTCCCCAGGGTTCTGCTGAGACACCATGCAGAGGCTGTGTATGTGTGCACCTGTGGGCAATGAATATAAAGTTATGACTCTGCTCACACAAACCTTTGCACATAACATACAGGCTAGCGAAATAGTTGTGAAATGCATTTGGGCGTGTAGTTTTATGCCAGTTGCCATTAGATTTACAGGTCAGAATGGAATGCGTCCCAATGGAAAGCACTTTCATCCCTCCACCAGGTTGACGTTTTTATTTAGGGAGCGCTGTATGGCACCAGGCGTCTTTTTTTTAAACCTTTGATGAACTCCATGGCAGCCTTCACAAAAATCATAGAAATGTGAGATGTCATGGAAACGGCTGGTCACCAGGTGATATATCAGTCAGTCTTGAGGTTTGTGGATGTTCCTCTATTCATTGGTTTCATAAATACCTTGCAATTCAATTTTTGTGATTCAATTTGATTTGAACAGGTTCTTCGTGTTAGTCCCCATAATCAAGTAGTTGGTGTTATTTATTGGAAGTTTCATTGATCCATTTCATTTTTTTAATGAAAAGCAAAAGTGATGACAGGTCATTTCTATACTCAGAGTTCTGCATAAAGATGCTTTTTTTAGAAGGACACGTTTTTTGTTTGTTTAGTAGTGTTCTGGTTTCTTGTTGCAGTTCAAAATAAGTATTTACCAATATTGTTTCAGCTTGCTTTGGTACTTCTTTGGAAAACTGTCAATGTAGAAAGCAAAATAGTTGGAATGCATTGGCCTATATGCATACATGAAACTATTGGCTGACTGATTGTGTGTGTGATTGTACATTGAATATGAAAAATAGCCAAAGGTAACCAAAGACACCCAAATGAGTTTTTCAAACACACAAAAGAAGTTGCAGAAGATACTAGTCTGCTGCATCTTCTCACCCTTTTTTTCTTGTGTTTTGTTCCACAGAGGCGGAGGCTCCTGCAGCAGTTGGGGGACCAAAAAATCCCTTTTCTGGGACCTCCTGATCGGGGCTATCAGCAACTGGTGAGCCAATGTCACTCTTACAGATCACACTAATAAAACCTAGACCTTTACTTGGAGTGCCTTACATCCTCTTTTACCCACTGTTGGCAGCCTTAATACAGCTACTGTTTATTTTATATTCTGCTGTATCTAAAAGACACATTAGTTCTTTTATAGTTAGTTCGTTGATAAGGTGTTTTTTTTATGTCATGATCATCCTGTAATGATATGACTGTCTTGTGTTTCCAAGTGGGATTCCAGTTACACTGGTCTGGTTCTGAGGAGATCCTGCTCGCTGCCTGACGAGCTGCATGGCCGTGTGCAGGCAGCTCTGCTCACCCTGAGAAGGAAAGGCTGCCTCCTCAGGGACTTGGTTCGCGTCCGAGACCGAGATGTATTCACTGCAGTCTCACGGGCTCTGCTGGGTGAGCCGGGCCACACCTATCGCTATCTGGACACACGGCTCTTTGCCATCCCCTGGCACAGCGAGGACACAGAGGCCAAAGGACAGAACTGTTGTGACCCTGACTTAAGGGCTGCTTGCAAGGCATTGTGGGAGCTTAACACCTTCTTCTGCTCTGATGTTTCTCAGCTGAAAGAAGGCGACAGACTCGCACAGTGTGCAAAGGGGGAGGCAGAGGCCAAACAAGGTGAAGAGGGGGACACAGAGTCTAAACACAGTGAAGACTCCAAGTACAGCGAAGGAGCAGAGTCCCGACAAAGTGAGGAGGGGGACAACGAGTCCAAGCACAGTGAGGAGTGGGACATTGAGTCAAAACACAGTGAAGAAGGCTGCTCGGGGTCAAAACAAGAAGGAGAATGGGAGAATGAGTCAAAACACAGCAGCGAGGAGGGGGAGTCCTCCCAGGTCAAAGGAGGTGCAGTGTGTCTCACATCAGGGACTGATCACAGTGAAGGAAAGATCCCTGACTGGACTCCTAAAACCATCTGCAGCACTGAAACTAAATCCCTAGTGACCCATGAGAAACCTGTGGCTCAACTAAAGCACAATCTGTCAGATTACCACTTGGAGGACAAAGAGGAGCAGCCAGGTGGGCAGGGATGTTCCCAACCGAGTCCTCCGCAGGTATGCACTGGTCCGGTCAAGTTCAATGTCACCTTACTCAACTACATGGACCCGGCAGCTATGAGCCAGCTCAAAGAGGAGCCTTACTATGGCATGGGGAAAATGGCCGTAGGGTGGCACCATGATGAGAACCTCATCAGTCATTCACCAGTGGCTGTTTACAGCTATAGCTGTCATGATGACAAAGGTAAGGGTCAAATATTTAATAGCTTAGTTTGCTCATGGCTGTGCTAACTGGAAAAATTTGATTAAACACCTCCGAATATGTTATTAAGCACTTTAATGCTAAATGTTCAAAGTAAATAATGCTCCTCTTTAGCATGTTGTTTAATGAAATTAAGTTTCCTTTTTTCCCACTTTAATATCCAATCAACTTATCTCAGATGCTTTATGGTGGATCAGATGCCGCTAACCTTGTGTATTTTTGCCCCAAAGCAGCGCTGTAGTAGCTGTAGACATGGCCTCCGGTTAGGCATCCATCAGATCCATCTTTGTGATAGTGTCAGGGCATTATCAAATGTCATCACTGGCTTGCTGCTGACAGCCTTATCAGCAACGTGCGTCGGGAGATCACAGACATTTGGAGCCGAGCTCTTAACATGAGCTCAATGGTGCAGTCTAACAAACAGGCCTTATCACACACACCGCATCTCATCTAAATCGTTTCCCCAAGAAAAGATCGATGTGCAATTATCTGATATGGAATAATGAGCCCTGCTTTGATAAGTGTTCCTAGACTGTACCGTATGGATAATATGATGTCTCCTAATTAGAGATTGTGCACTCTTTCAAGAGCTGATAGCACTTGCCGATTGAGTTAATAGAGAACATCAGTGAGAGATGAACTTTGCTTTCTAGAACATTGGCTAAACAGTTGAAGACTGAACACTGTATCAAACTATTTTATTTGAATAAAGATCATCGTAAATATGATCTTTTGGTATCCAATTTTTAACAAATTATACAAAGTCTTGCCAAATAGAGATGTTCCTAGGCAACTAAGTTAACAGTTGATTAAACTCAGATATAAGTTTGGACTAGTGTAAAGGAAAGAAAACACTTTAAAACCGTTAAAATTGAGCACTGTTTATTAGCTAAACATGGGACAGGGCGCATAAACATCACAGCATCAGCCAGTAAACAATATAAAAATAGTTTTAGCTGTGCTAGCATCACTAGCCTTCAGTATTCCTTGCAAGTTAACGTCCGCATGTCTGTGCTGGTAAGCCAGTCAAACCTGATACAGCCTACATATAACTTCATCTCTATTTTCCAGATCAAAATACTGCCAAACTGCTCCACACCACGAAATGCCATCCTGTATTGTTTTACATACAGGTAGTAGAGCATTATGGGAATCAGGTAGTAGCCATTAACCAGAGCTAAAGCCATGGCTAGTTGCAGTTTACACACAAAAATTGACCTGAAATGATAAAAAACTATTGAGAAAAAGATCCTCTTTTAAATTGGAAAAAAATCCTTACATTTCTGATGATTAATGAAGCTCATCTTATATCACAACTTTTATACAAGCTGCAACCTTTAACCCAGGGGGTTAAAAAATTAAAAAATGAAGCCAACTCAGAAGTGCAAAATCCTGCATTTCTTTGAGGGTGCGCTTGAGGCTGGTTTCAAGAGCCCCGGAAGTCACATACACAACACATTCAAAAAATCTGTTTTTTTACAGCAGAAATTAACATGTTTACAGCTTGGTACAAGAAAGATATTGGTCTGAATAGTTATTGTCATCATGGGCACACAATGTACAGTGTTTTGATTTTAATGAATGATACGTGTTATCCATAATTAGGCGCGTTGCTGACATCATTGAAAGGTGGGCGTGATGTAGAGGTTTGTCAAGAGGCTTAAACCGACCTCAGCTCCAGCTTTTAACCGGTTTTTAGGTTGACTGACAGTTAGGCTGAGACTGGATTTCCAGCGTGGCGGTTGCTGCCTATGAGCCCCCCTGCAGTAACATGTGGGTGGCTTCGTCCATTAATAGTTGCAGTCTAGTCTACAGTCTAGTCTACAGTCTTTTATATCTAACTAAATTAGGGGATTCAAGAATAATAGCTGTAGGTCTTTGGGCAGCAACATATTGGTTCATTCATGCACCTTTAAAAGACTGAAAGGATCAAATCTTTTTTCTGAGGAGACACAAAAAAGATGCAGCCAGAGGTCAGTAATATACAGTGCATGTACTGTACTGTTAGAAATAGGGTCTACAACTTCGTCCTCAAAATTAAATTTCAGACTTCCACAGGTCAGCCATCCACTTTCAAATCCCAACACACTTCATAGCTGTGATTTCTTTCTTGTGGTTTCTTAACCAGAAACACCTGCTGCAGAGGTCTGCTCCAATGATTTGTTCAAGGCCTTTATAACTTTGACCCTGTGAACATGGGCTTCAAACACTATGGCATAACACCTTGCCGTGCTTAGCAGCTGTGCCTTTTCTAGTTTTGAGTTACCCCACAGCTCCAGACCTTTAGAGAGGAAAGTGTGATTAGAGCCCCATCGTGCTTTATTCAGGATTCTGCCTCGGAAAACTCCCAGAACCAGGCTAATAAAATTGTTACCTTTAGGAATGTTGCACTTTCACAATAAGTTCAAGTTCCTTTCACTGACCCTGAGGAAACAAAAAGCAGCGTGTCCCTGAGAGGAAAGAAACACGGCACATTAGATGTCTTAGATGTACGGAGCTGTTTTGCATGACACCTGCTTCCTCCGAGGGCCTCTTTTATTTTCTCTTTGAGCAACCTCACCTTGTTTTTTTTTTTCCTCTTTCTGTTTTTGCTTCAGCCAGAGAAGTGTTAGGAGTGTTTTTTTCCCAGCTGCACTGATCCAAAGGAATCTGCCACGACCGAGCGTTTTCCGGCACAGTGGATGATCCTCCACCATTCCTGAGGCCTTGGGGAGCGCTGTCATTAGCCGGCTCTCAGAGCACAATGGCTGGAAATTAAGTTACTATTTATCCGTGCTAAGCAAAGGAAAAGGCAGCTGTGGGGCAGAGAGGCCCAGAAAGACTTTAGTATTGATTTTGCTGAAGGGTGTTGGCCAGCCAAGCCAAATCTTGTTTTCTTTAGTGTGCCATGTTAGAATGGGAGGAGACGGGAGAGCAGTGTAGATGGATACAGTGAATGAGTTCAGAAACAGGAATATCATAGGATACCTACTTGCCAATAACACTCTCTCACACACTCATTTAACAACATCAAGGGCTTTTATCCAACTATTTCCTCTTGCACAGCGTAATGATGGCATAAAGATCCTGCTAACAGCCAATTTGACCACAGCAACACATATCATCTTTGCTCTTCTGTTAAGTGATTCTTACTTTCTGGAGACAAAGGCTAACATCTTACATCCACTGTTTGGGTGCTGTGGATTTAATCATAGTCTTCCTTGTGATACAAGGTGGAAATATTTTTTTTTCAAATGTAACATATCATTTGGACTATGCCACTACTTTGCCGATTTGAGTTTCTGTAATGATTTAGCACTGCTTAATAAAATGAATATTGTGTTATAAAGCAATTATTGCAAAGTAGTAAATGTGTGAAATTTTAAGTTTAAGTCTTGGAACCTTGACTCTAAGTTTACGTCATACTGTGTGCAAACTTTCAAACTGAAAACCTGACGTGACTATAAATGCAAAATGTTAATGTTACAGCATGTTGGCCTGTGTTTGACTGACAGGTGAGAGCAGTGAGGGAGGCAGCGGGGAGAAGACATGCTGGAGAATTGGGCTCAAAGTAGCCTGGGACATCCACACACCTGGCCTGACGCTTCCACTGGAGTCAGGAGACTGCTATTATATGAGGGGTAATAAATCTTCTTCATGAACACATACACAATCATACAAATACATAAAAACACACTGCTCACACAACTCAGACATATTTACAATGATGCCTTTCTTTAGAGGGAGGGACACTTTAATCCTGTGTTTTAGTGGGTCTTGTACCTCTTTCCAAAGAAGTCATACCAGTAGCTTCTCACCCTCTCTGCAAGACCTCTGTGTGTGTGTGTGTGTGTGTGTGTGTGTGTGTGTGTGTGTGTGTGTGTGTGTGTGTGTGTGTGTGTGTGTGTGTGTGTGTGTGTGTGTGTGTGTGTGTGTGTGTGTGTGTGTGTGTTAGATGCATTACTCGGCCTGAAAACAGAACTTTAAGTTTCCATGAAATCGTGTGCATTAGACAAGTTAGGGAAAACCAAATGTTATTTTTTGAAGTCCTGTGATCCGGTGCTGACGATGTCTCTATGGAGAGGACAGACAGCGAGCCACAGGGGTGTAAATCATAGCGTAATGCTTTTGGCTGCAGCAGACACCTTCACCCTAATGTTTTGGCCCTGTGAGCCCTTTCTCAAGCTTTCTCATATTTCCTGTGAGGTCAGTGATCCACATCAAAGTAGTAGCATGGGTTCAGCTGGACGAAAAGTGAGGCCCCCTGGTTAGTTGTTGGTGAGCTAAGTATATAAGTATAGATACACATAACAATCTTGTCAGACAGTTGTCCCTTCGTATTCTCGATAAATGACCTTAACATATATTGAAGCTAAGCAAAATATAAAAAACATTCTTATCGATCATTGTTCAAGACTAAACTTAGACAAAATCAATAATATTAATCAAGAAAAACAGCTGAATTAAATTCACCCTCAGGGTCTTTTAAGTTTTTAAGTTATTTACTTTTAAGACCTTTTATTAAACTCATGTTTACATTCCAAAGCACAGCTTTCTTTACTCTTTTTTAAATACTTTCTTCCCTACTCTTGGCCTGTGGCAGTAGTAGAAAGACCTGCCAACTTTTAATTTGCCCACATCAGTCTGTCCCCGATCCCCTCAGGAGCAAATGCATGTATCCATGCAGTGTCTGATCACAAGTGCCATACTGCTGTCAGTACACTCTGCAAACATGTCAAAATCATACCAGTAATGCTAAGATTTACATTTTCAGCTGACAGTAAAGGTGAGGTTGTAACTTTCATGATTTGCACATCTATTTCAGAAACATTTTTGTGAAGACATATGTAGGACATATATAGGACACAAAACATTTAAATATATTCAATATGTATCACATACTTTAGTCAACATAACATTAGTTACATTCAAGGTTCAAGATTGAAACTATTTATTTTCCAGAGGGGACAAAACAAACGAATAAACAAACAAACCAACCAACAAACCAACCAATCAACAAACAAACAAACAAACAAACAAACAAACAAACACAGACAGCAGCAGCATTCGGACATGTCAGTGACAACAGATCTGTCGTAAGGAGGGGGACGTAAAGTATTAGACACCAGAACTCAAAATAAATTAATGAATGAAGGAACGAATAATCATTTATTTTTTAGTTTGATAAGCGAGTCTCCAGCTGGTCTGTCATTTAGATTCTTGTTAGCGTCATGAAAATGTGAAACAGTAAGCTGCTTTATTTGTACAAAATAATTGTAACTCTTAGTCTGTAAGCACTAAGCTTATTTAGTAAACAGAACAACTGCTGCTGCTTGTCAACAATGGACAGGTCGTAAGTTTACGTCCGGATAATTATTGGTAAGTGCTTTATTCACCAGGAAGGCTGTCAATAAAAATAATACAGTTTTCAACGGCTAAAAAGTTTAGCACCATCCATATATCATCTGTCTAACTGAATTTGAGGTTACTTATCTACATTATCCTGAATTGATTAAGGTGGATTTCAAAAGGGCGTCTATTGAGTGTTTGTCAATCTGAATCGTTTTCAATAGGAATAGAAATCGGAAGGCTTAAAGGAATTCCTGAAGTTGACTCTTTGAAGCTGCTGTGTTTTCATCTGAGAGCGGCGATGTCTGCACCTAATATTCAGCCTGACAGGGCTTGAAGCCGACCTCCTTTAGCTGGATAAGATTTACAATAGAACAGTCAGTTTCAGGCCAGCCATGATAATAGAGTGATGGGCTGTTGTGCAGACCATTCTAATGGGACTTGACTGTCGCGGATCAGTGGGGATTTATGCTCCACTTGGTGAGTACGCCCTTGAGAGGCCAACTGCTGCACAACGATAGCGGCTCGCACAGTCCTTGGCTGTCTGTCGCTTTGTCGGTCTACCTGAATTAAACACTTGGCACAAAGCACGGACATATGCACACACCTATAAATTTGCACGACTGAAAAGAACAAGAATACACACCCTCACACATGCAAATAATTGAGTCTTCTGCTTTCTGGAGGACAGACATGCCACCCCCCTCCTCCTGTTTCAAACACACACACATACACACAAAGATAGAGTAGCCGCCGCTAAACCATGTGTTCAAATATATTGCCGGAGTGTTTTAGTGACATACACCGTATGATAGATAGTTTGGTGGTATTAAAAGAGAACTACAATGCTGTCTAACCACAGACACTGTAATGTCTTTTCAGCACCATTTGTTGCCGACTGGCCCTTTTGAACTGCTAATGTCTGAGCTGGTGGAAGCAAATTGAATCACCATCATTTCCACCTAAATGGAATTTCAGTGGTTAAAAAAGAACAATGCAAGTCTTGACACCGGGCCTGTTCAATAATCAGATTTCCAACTCCCAATGCACAGGGGGACTGGAGGAAAGAGTTGACCCAATATATTTAAAAGCCTGCTTCCTGGAAAAGGAGGACAAGTGGCAGAAGGCGCAGGGGTTGAAAGAAAGATAAATATTTATTACAGTTATCGAGTTTGCCTCGACTCCCTCCTGATCCCACTGACGCATCAGACGCGCCAGGAAAAGAGCAGATTGATGGAGATAATTTGTTATTGGATATAAACAGTTTTAAAGACGCAGAGTAATTCTGCCCAGAGACCTAATCCCTCACAATCTCATCAGGGTGAAGAAAACACCGGCAAGTTGTTTTGTTTGTCACCATCTTTTTTTTCTCCTCCTACCAAACAATAATATCTTGCTCCCAAAGCATTTGGCTGTTTGACTTTCAAATCACGGGCATTAGCCAGTGTACTCTTGCTCAAGGCGGGTGTAAATATGCACATGTGCTGTGAATGACAGCTCTGTCATGGCTAAATTAATTATTGGTATGAGGCAAATAATGGCAGAGCTGAGAAACATCTATACACACAAAGAAACACATGGAGGGATACACAGGAAACAGCAGTAAGGCCTCTTTGTAAAGCTTCCGAGATATTGGACAAATGTTTGTTGGTATGGCTCCTCCATCTTGACAGATTGAGAGCGATCTGGTTTTGTTTGGTAATTAAAATTATAGTACAATGCTGCTCATTCTATTTGATTGGATGCTGGACGGAGCGCAATCTGTCTGAGCCTACAAGATGATTTAGTTGTCATGTTTCCTCATGCCCTGCTTTTCATCTGTTTTTCTATTGTAATTAAGTCTTTTCTTTCCCTGTTCCGTTTAATTCTTTATTAGAATTAATTAAAATTGGGAGATCAAAATATTAACTTCTAACATTGATTCTACTCTTGTGTTTTTTTTTTTTAATTGTCCTGTTCATGATTTTATTCTTCTTCTTTTGTGACTGTTTTTATTTTTTATTTTTACATGTTTATTCTGTTCCCTCTTTTTTTTACCAGATGACCTGAACTCCACCCACCAGCACTGTGTCCTAGCTGGAGAGAACGCTCGCTTCAGCTCCACACACAGAGTGGCTGAGGTAGGAAGCAAACAGGCTGAAAAGACACTGTTTCGAATTTGTACAGAAAAAGCTTTATCAGAAGCCAACAGTCCCATTCGGTGTGCGTAATAACTGATGCTAGTGCATTGTTACTGCTGTTAACTATTGTAGGCAAAGAGGCAATTACAACAATTATTATCAAGGATGTGTCTGATTGACAAAGACATAAACAAGTGAGTCGAATTTAAGGACTTTGATTTCTTATGAGTTAAAAAAATAAATAGTAAGGTTTTGAATCAATAAAATAAAATGTCCTGATAATTAACTGACATGCAAAGCTAATAAATGTAAATGAATAACGTTTACAACAGCAGGGGATTAAATACAACTTCTAAAGTTTGCATTTCGTTTTGGATTGTCTTTTTATTCATTGGATAGTTTTTGTGTTCATATCGCTGTCTTTGTTCCTGTCTCACCAGTGTTCTAGTGGGACCCTGACCTACATCCAGTCCCAGTGTCAGGAGGCCCTGACCAACCTGCGCACTGACCCAGAGACAGGCTCACACAGCCTGCTGGCTCTGCTGCCCACAACGCTACAGCATTGTGAGGAGATTCACAATGAGGTACAGACATGCTTATAGGTGTTACCATTTACATCAACAGTAGTCTGTGTCATTGTTAACTTGTAACTTCTGTGCCATGCAGATATTTCTAACAGCACTTAGAAATATCCAAAGTTTATTTTCGGCCTGCTCTTGGTACCAGAAGAGTGAGGTTAGCTTCATTTGGTGACTGCATTTTGGCCAATAAAGATTAGACAACAGAATGCTAGTCTTTTAAGTTTTAACAGTTTATTTTTTGTGATCTATGACCTTCTTTACTCTGGTGCACTAGTCCTCGTCCTTCTGTGAAGTCCAGGGAAGTAAAGTTACACTTAGACTGAACTTCATCAGAACAGCATCGCAGAAAATAATTGAAAATTGTCATTTTTTGAAGAGTCAGGCATTAGATCTTTTAGAAAAAAATATCTTTAGGAATCCAATTTATTTAAAAATGACCTGTATATTGTTCCCTGTTGGATCTATACTTTATATGCATACAGCTCACTGCACAGGACTGTAACCTCGTCACAATTTGTGATATAACAACAAGATCCTATAGGTGCTGAGTCACCACATTTCTACCTTCTACTTACCTGGCTGTTTAACGCCCTTAGTATGAAATCCAGGTTGTTCTCATTTGTCCTGGTCTGTGATGGATCGTGAGGCAGTAGCCCCTCCATATGTCATCTAAAGATGGAGTCATACCCCACTCCCCTCTCTAACTCCCTTTATACACAACGACTACAAATGATGCCGGCTTGAGGTATTGAGGGATAGACCGGGGTCAAAAAAGAGGAACATGTGGGGCCATTTGCAGAACCGCCAGCACAGCGTGCTAGCTTGCCGCAGGCCAACAGTTAATATAGCACTTCAACTCTTGGCCTTTACACCCCAGGGCTCAAAATGCACATCCTAGATGACACAAGCACCCAAGACCCCACAGCAGAACGCCATGATAGATGAGTCTGACGTAAGGTTGTTTAAAGGTTGTAGACGATATTAATTATTCAGCACTGCCGAACAATAGGCCTGTCTGTTTGAGGAGGAACGTTGCGCTAGTTGAGCTTGCGACATCCGCTATTTTGCACCACAGGATTACCAAGCATAGTTCCCCCACCTGGAGATTAAGGCAGGTTAATTTAGGACAACAGGCTGCTATTTATAAAGGAGCAGGTGTGTGTGTGTGTACAGTATGTGTGTGTGAATGTTAAAGTTCCTGGGTGGAGGAGGGTGCTGCACCCAGAGGGCTTAACCCTACCCTACCTGGCACTCACAATGATCGATGTGGCCAATTGTTTGGAGTTGCCCACGAGAGCAGAACAACCACTTGAATCATGCATTGTTGGTGGGGATATTTATGATGGTGGTCCACTCTGGTGCTTGGCAGGTGCATATTGTGCAGGTCGTGTTTGACATGGACGACCGAGGAGCGAACAAGCCTGAGACGCGCAGGCAGCCTGACCTGAACAGTGGCTTATGGACCTTCCCTTTTAAAAAGTGCTAAAAACGCAAGCTAGCACCAGCTGACTAGCCATGGATATTGTGCAATGTGGTGCAGCGGGAAGATGGGATGGAGGTTGACACTTGTCAGGAGTCGTGGGCGGGTCTGACGATGATGAGGCACAACGTCTGCCACCTGAGCATGAGTGTTCAGGGATGGGGCGGTATGTCGAGTTAAAGTAGGAGTTGACGGAAGACAGAGACAGAAATAAAGAAAACTGGAGTTCCCACCTGTTTGTTAAGCACAGTCCCTCTTACTGTCTCTTTTTAATCTTACCTCCTGTCTTAGGCTGCAGGGGTGGGTGGGGGGGGGTAGTCTAACATAGCATCACCACGCGGCCCCTGTGTGCACGTTTGGCTTTGAAATGCTAATCCCAGATGCAAATGTCTTGTCTCATTTAAAACCACTGTGTCACTTCCCAGGTGGGTGTGTGACAGAGTGCCCTTAGGGACCCCCTCTAATGATGCTAGTCCCCCCACAGTAAATATTGAAGGGAGGGACAAGCTTTTCCCACATGTTCTAGTGGAAAGTAAACTGTGTTGAAGCAGGTTTGTGTGACCTTCCAATGTCCTGTCTTCAGGCCAAAAATTCTCCCCAGGCACCTGGGTCTTTGCTTGGCTTTGAAACACCTTTCCTGAGGGGCTTACGGTGGCGATGCCATTGTAATCTTATAAATCACTTTTCAAAACACACTGGTGAAAAAGGACTTGTGAAGTAAATGATTTGTGCTTTTTTATTTCTCAATTTAAGACCCGAAAAACATTGTTGTTGCTGTCTTAAATCAATGTGAGACATTTACGACTTTAAGAGTAAGTTTTGGAATTGCGAATCAAATCACAACGGATAAAATGTTCTGAAAGTAAAATGTATTTTAGCTTTGTAAGACCATTAATTGCTTTTGAAATAGCCGACAATTGCTGTTGTTTTTGAAGATTTATAATTGATTTATAACAGTGAAGATAAAGGAGATCCCCTCCAGTTACAGCTTAGAAAGTGAGACAATTTCTATCTAAATCTGTAGCCATAGACACAATATGGAGCAGTGTGCATCTCATCTCTGCATGCTCCTTATAGCCTAGTGTTTGTATGACCACTTTGGCATGTGTGTGGTGAGTGTACATTGCGTGCCTGGTTGCTCAAAGAGAGCTGCGGGGACCAGTTCGCCTCGCTGATCTGTGCGAAGGCTGGGAAAAGGTAAACAGAAGACGGCAGAATGGGATCGATCCCACTCTCATCAGCTCCCACCTCAGGGCCCCAGTGCCGGAAATTGATTGGACCCGCACAAGGAATACCGTGAAGGTGTGGAAAAAAAACACGCCTCATTAGATGGGGGAAAAAAGGGGGCTACTTGGCAACTCCAGAGTTGCCATGGTCAGCAGGGGGGGCGACTAATGTGGGGCTAATGTTTAGTTAGTGTACCCATCACCTGGAGAGATGACAGCGACTGCCGCAGGGGAGCCACCAGCTCCCCACTCGCTCCCCCACGCTGTCTCAGAGAAAAACTAGCCCTAACAGCCACTCTCTCTTCCACACACACATTCGATCTGTCTACCTGGATAGGTGGCATTTAGTCCGAGTACCCCTCTTGGTAACTCTCAGCTGGGTGGCCAGACTCCAAATGCCACAAAGCCAGAACTCCTCAGTAGCTGTGGAGGGCCTGCTTTGTGGCAACCACTGGCCTGCGCAGTGGGGAACAGGCGGCCATGTCGGCTCAAAGTGGAGACACAGGTTGGTTTCTTCTGACTAAAGGACAGGCAGACAATCAGAGAGTCAGAAGGAAGGACTGACAGAGAGAGAAAAGGATGTCCGATATCGGCGTCGGCAGCTTTGTTGTGTGTTTGAGCTGTAGTGATCGAAGGGGAGTGGATTTAGAGAGGGTTGAAGGGACCATAAAGGATGACATTTCTTTGAAGGGTTGCCTGTATGGAGTGACTGAGAGGCAGCTGAGCAGTGCCACTTGCTGTGTATTCTCCCTGACATGCCCCGGTCCTTGCATGTCATCCCTGCTGTGATCAGAGCCTTTTGGAAGCAAATGGCAAGATGATTCTGTGTGCAGCCTATCCCCAAACAGACCTCATTCAAGTTGTCAGTGCAACTAGTTCTTGCCCTTTGTTTCTACTTGCTTGGGGAAATGGGGAGTACTTCACTTCAGGGAAAGTTCGAGAGAGGATGAGATTGTGAATGCCACACTTATGCACTTTATGTCAACATGAGAAAGTTTGACTCACATTCCATCTCTTGTCTTGAGTCATTGACAGCGGTGACTTTTTCATACTTAACCAAGACCTCAAAAGCAATTGTCTTCATGGTCCCCCAAATCCTATTAGCCACTGCAAATGAGTTGTATACGAGCATTATTGGAGAGACATGGTTGGATGAGAGTGGATGACTGACTGGTTTAGCATTTTAAAAAATGCCATAACATGGACAAGTACATCCAAACAAACAATACAAACAAGATATTTTTCCTAGAAAAGAAATGGCCAGCTTAAACCTTGTCGTCACTGTGTGAGTTTGCAGCACTACAAAGGGTCTGTTGTATACATTTGCTAATGCGCTGTTAGAAAACCAAATAAACAACAAAATAGTATTCAGAAAAGGAACAATAGCTCTCTCAGTCCCATGTGATATGTGACTACTTTGCATTGAAGCCCTTTATGTGCTGTACAGTTTACTGTGTCAGAAGGAAACGGGGTGTTTATTGTTTATAGTGGGTGAAGCTTTGTTGGACTTTTTGGGGGAGGGCATCTCACAGCATTTCAAATTTCGGTTGGCAGCAATTGGGGCAATCTTTGACATCCACTCTCACACCGGCATTTGTATGCACAGGCTTTAACAAAGCCACACATGCACTCCTGTAGGCTGATACACCTAAGAGCATGAAGACACTGCTGGAAATACAGGAACAAACACACAAATATGCGCCACAAAAAAGACACACTTAGAAAAAAGATAGGCTACACCTGGCTACATGAAGCATCGTTGCGAGGATTAAATCAGCACTTCAAAAGCGCAGGAAACAAAAACACTCCCAGTGGAGGAGAGAGGAGCGGCTCAGCAGCCGAGGCTGTCATCTCTAGATGGAGCGAGGGAGTGAGAAAGGAGGGGAAGGAGGGAAGGAGGGAGGAGAATGAGGAGAAGGGGAAGAGGGTGGAGTTTTCCAGGTGTGCTGTCTGGAAGGTGTGTGTATGTTTGTGTGTGAAAATAGACATTTGCAGGAAAGTCCAAATGTACTGATGCTTTTTGTAGAAAGTGTGATTATTCTTATAGAGATGGCCAATATTTGTATTATTTTTTGCAAGACAGTTTTTTTACATCTGTAAAAAAACATGTTTTAATTTTGTTTTTTTAAAGACCTCATTGAAATGATGTGTTTTTAAATCATTTGAAGACTTTAATGTGTAAGGTTTTTTTTTTTTAGTACAATATTTTCAAATGAAGTTGGACATTTTTCCATTCTCAAAGTCATAAATACATTGTAATTCTTCCCCCAAATTGTGTGGAAATAATGCATATAACAATAAAAAACATTTATTGAATTAATCAAAACTTCATTATTACATGTACATTTGCAAAGAAAGAAAAAGGCCAACTCTGTACATCTGAGCAAAATGACATCTGAAATATATATATATATAATATTTCAAAAATAAAAGTGTCATTTGAAACACAAAATTCAAAATCCTCTCAAACACAAAGCATGTTATGCTGTTTTCTACAAAAAGTAGGGAGGGTGTTTTTGGTCAGGTTGCATTTGAAAGTTTTTTTTTTTTTTAACAATTATTGTTCAAAGTAAAAAGACCATGTTAGAATAAAACAGTTAAATCAAAATATGTTCACGCTTATCTACATGCTTTTTATTCCATTTGAATTTACTGTTATATGTTCAAATGTATGTCTTTAAAATTAAATATAATATTGTAAAGTTATGCCTTAATATTTCTACTGTAGAGAAATTAAAGTTTAAGAAAAATTTTAATATAAATTGGGCAAATTATTTAGATGTGACAGAATTTGTTGTCAGTCTGAAATAGCTTTCTTATTCTTATCGTGTGTGTGTGTGTGTGTGTGTGTGTGTGTGTGTGTGTGTGTGTGTGTGTGTGTGTGTGTGTGTGTGTGTGTGTGTGTGTGTGTGTGTGTGTGTGTGTGTGTGTGTGTGTGTGTGTGTGTGTGTGTGTGTGTGTGTGTGTGTGTGTGTGTGTGTGTGTGTGTGTGTGTGTGTGTGTCTGCAGGTGGAGTTTGAATGGCTGAGGCAGTACTGGTTTCAGGGCCAGCGTTTTGCCCGCTTCTGCAGCTGGTGGACCAGACCGATGGAGCAGCTGGAGAAGGACTGGAAGCTCATGGAGACGATGGTAAGGCTCACACACTGCTGCTCACATTGCAGCATTAATCTCTGATTTTTCAGCCTGCGTAGTTTACTGAAGTCAGCATCACTCACTAAACTTAAGTTATTCTTCAGTGTTTCAAATCACTTTCAATCCATATGTCTGGTATGCTTAATTAGTTTTTCTACAACAGGAAACTTTTTTTCCCTCATCATAACCAATAACAGAAACATAGGTTTAGCCCTTTTTTATTTTTTTTAATTTTTTTTTACTGTTCCAAATAAGAACGCAGAAAACGACATTTAGATGTAAATATGTCACTAAATCATTATAAAGAAACATCAGTGATCATAAAATTATCCAGATAGAATTCAAATGTCCTAAGTGCAGTATAACAATGATTAAAAAAAAATGAAACTAAACATACCTAAATTAATTTTTAGATGCCATTCCCCCATGGTTCAAGCAGCTACATGACTGGCAGAGCCACTTAGTTATTTAATAAGAGATTGTCAACATGCCTCCACTCGTGCTCTTTGTACAAACTACATAAGTGATCTGCTGTCCAATAATGCTCCTCACAAGGGAGGGTGTGTTTAAAATTACACGGTAGATTGTCTAACTTCTCACTAAGGTACATTATTAAGGATGTGTCATGTGTTTAATCGCTGCCTCACACAAGTTTTATTGGAGAGGAACGTGGGCGCACAGCTATTAGTTAGAAACCACCGTAAAGGAGACGCACTTAGTAATGTCAGACTCATAATTAAGTCACCTTAGTCACAGCTCGGTACTGTACATATGTGCTGCAGACACACACACCACACACAAACACACAGACACACACACTGCACTGAAACAGACACACACACACACACACACACACACACACACACACACACACACAGCTCACAAACACAGATACATGTACATGCTTGGGCTCGCTTTCTCTCCTTTAACAAATGCCCCTCTTTAATAGATTTCAAAGAGTCTGTGTGATCATGTATGTAGGTATGTGTGTGTGTGTGTTTGTGTGTGTGGTGTGTTTAGCACTCAGATACCAGAAGCAGCAGGGGGCACTCTTGTATCACTGTAGTAGCAACTGAGAGAGCGAAAGAGCCGTGCTCCTATTTTCCTCTCTTCTCCCTCTCGCTTGCTTTCTCTCTCTCTCTTTCTCTCTCCCCGTGTCTCTTTATGTCTCTTGCCCTCTCCTGCTGTCTCTGGGAGCTCTCTGTCTCTGTCAGTGTCGAGCGCTGAGCAGTAATCACATCTAATGCTCAGGCGGGGATAAAGACGGGGGCTGGAGGAGAACAGTACTGCTGCTGCCGCCGCTGCTCAGCTCTGTTCACGCTCGCTCGCTCTCTCTCTCTCTCTCTCTCTCTCTCTCTCTCTCTCTCTCTCTCTCTCTCTCTCTCTCTCTCTCTCCGAGTTGAGCAGCCTGGTAGAGGTTGGGTGGTGGTGAGGGGTTTAGTAGACAGGGGCTAAACTCATCTAGAGCTCGACCTCCGGGCCCAGATGAAGTGTGTGATTTGGACCTGTATTTAGAAAAGGGCATCAGTGAAATGTGAGGTCTCTCTCTCTCTCTCTCTCTCTCTCTCTCTCTCTCTCTGTGTGTGCTGCTGTGTCTCTGTCTCAATTTAATGGGCAAGCAAACCATATCCACTGTGCTTGTGTGTTTGTCTTTGTGTGTCACACTTGAGAATTTCTGTATTTTTGTAAAAAAAAGTAAGTTTCAAACCTTAAGCAGGACAATATCATACAATGGGACACTTTTTTGTCAAATAAATACAAATAATTGTAGATTATAAAGAGTTTTAAAATAGATATTCACTTTGTTCTGAAATATATCGTTTTTACTTGTTTTTTTTCACAATAAAGTTCTTTGAATCGTATTTAATCACATTTGTCAAATCAGACAAAAAGAAGTATATCTCGTGCCGAAGTTCATACAGAGCCTTCACACAATAATACACTGCAGAATGCATAAATGTAATCACTCAGTATTGTGATGGAAGACAACATTATTGCTTTCGCAAGCAATATTTACATACATGCATCGACCCCTGATGAAAAGCACTTTATAGACGTGACTTATAGATTTTCTCCGTTTGGAGCTGGGGATAGCTGTGGCTTTTCCTGCAGTTAAATTAAAACACATTTCTCTAAATTACTTTGAGTTATTTAAATGACGCTGCTTCCCCCTGCATTCCTTTATTGCATATATATATTTTAGATCTGGAAGCTGGCAATTGACAGTATAGTGTAGAAATTCTGAATGACCTACTGGGTGCAGATGCTGTTTGCCATTTATTTATTTAGATTTGTTTTGTTGGTGCCTGCAGAGTATATTTTAATACAGCCTTATTTTTGTCAAATTTGATATCACCGCGGGTATTTTGAAATTACAAATATACATCTCTTTAAATAGGCTTTATAAATTGACACCGTGTCGTTTTATACACTGAGCTGTAGCAATAAAACAGCCTATTGTTTTATCCTGCTAAAATAGTAATACAAACAGCCAGCCCTCGTCTCTTTATTGTCATATTTAGCACACAGTGTTTTGGGATGCGCTGGGTTATGTATGCGTTTGTTAGTCCGTATGAAGAATATTGCAGTATTGGGGGGGGGGGGACTTGCTTCTGTTTGTGGATACTGTCTCTCCCTCGGGCTCCTTCTCTGCTCCTCCGCCCGTTGTCATGCAAATGCTCATCCTTCCATTTGAATGACATTCTGATAAAATACATAAATAAATAAATAAAGCAGCGATACAAAACAAGTCCACTTGCTTGCTCGCCTCTTTGTGGTGCCTCATGAATTCTTGTGGTTTCTGGATAGAAACAAAGAGACGTGCCGCTGAATAAACTTGAAGCGTGGGTATGTTTATTTTAATGACAAGCAAAAGTTTAATATGTGTGAGATTTAATGTATATAAGGTAAAGGTTATTTCAGAAGGGTGATGAAAGGACATGAACTTTAAGGTTTTACATTCCCTTGTGATCCAGGGTGCTGAAGTCCGTTTAGACCTGCTTCACTTGCAGCTTTTTGTTCCCTCAGGACTTTGATATCGTGGCTATCATACAATAGTGACATTTCCTTAAACTAGCAACAATGAATAGCTTCTGTGTGACTGACAATAGACAGAGAGTGCTGGCTTAATGCAGAATATTTTAAATACTGTTTTTTTTTTTAATCTTTCCTCTTTTCTCTGTGGGGGAGAAGCGACGCGCCCGTGAGCGCATCGCTCCTTTTTTTCCTCCTGTCCTGTGCATGTGTCTCTGTGTGTGAGCATGTGTGTGTCTCTGTGTGTGTGCGTGTGTGTGTGTGCCATTGATATTAATATATGCACTTGGCATGACTTTAATTGATTTAGCAGCTCTGCTTGCACAGTACAGCTTTTTCCTAATTTGTCACTTTCCTGACTTCTGTGGCTGCTCATCTCACAACTTCAAAAGCCAACGTGGATGCAAAGAGATTTCAATGCACTCCATCTCTCTCTCTCTCTCTTTATGTTCCTTCTTTCTCTTGTTCTCTCTCTCTCTCTCTTTCTCCCCCGCTCTCTCGCAATATCTCCGTCTCTTTCTCCCTCATTTGACAGCAGAGCAAGCCTTGTAGATGGAAATCTTTTCAACACATATCAAGGAAATTAATCGACTTTCATAATAAACGGGAGCCACTCAGCTGAATACATTTGTATACTTCAAGATGTACAAAACAGGAAGTGGTATCGGGGCCGTGTCTTCCTCTACTCTATTCACCCAGCCTGTCACTCCCTGTTTTCCGACGGTTTGGTCACACGTACACATATACTCAGTACACTCTTTATTTATTTTTTTCCTTTTGTGTGAGAAAATTAACCTCTCTCTGATTTGTAACAAGAGGCGTGCTTGCTTGCATGTGTTTACTGTACTGTGCGTGCCGGGATGCGCTGTGTGACCATTTCATCTCCTCCCTTCGCTTTAATGACAGTCTTTGGAAACAATCTGGGCTACTGAGGAGGGATGCAGTGCAGTCGTACACAGGCTGGCCCGGTCGCCATCGATAGCTGATTAGGTTATTGACCTATAGCGTGTGGAGGAGGAGGGGTGCTGAGGAGTGGTCAGGGAAGGAGGGTGAGTCTCTAGAGATAGATACAGAAAGAGGGAGGAGGTTAAATAAGACAGAGAGAGAGAGAGAGGTTGTGTGTATACTGGGGAGCAGGGACAGGAGAAAGGGGGGGCGGGGGGGGGGGTCAATGTAAATGTTATTGCTGTGTGAGCTCATTTGATCAAAGTCCTGGAAAGGTTAAGCGAATCCAATCTGGTTTTGTATGGCAGAGTGGAGACACAGGCGCTGGGGAAGAAACCCCCAGGACGGAGAATGGATTATCATATTGGCGCTGGAGTAGCAGGGGCCTCCGACGGACAGTTTACCCTGCCTGTAATGCGTTTAGACAGCAATTGGCCTTAATAACCTTTATTGACTTCAGCGGGTCAGTGCCAAGAATCTAATTATCAAAGTGTATCAATTTCATTGGAGTTTAGAGTTGCACCGCTCACAATAATTATTTTAAGGTCGGGCCGGGGCAATTAATCCCCTCTCCACTTATTTGATGGCTTTGTAAAACATTATAAATGTTATGGTTTCTGTTGTGCCATTCACCGTAAATTATTTCAGGGAGCAATTTTTTGTAATGTATTATTCCGGGGAGCTTTCTGTGCCAGTCCGGCTGAGGGGGGGGGGGGGGAAAGGCAGTGTATTCGGGAAAAGCTAGAGGCCACCGCTGAATCATGTTGCAGATGTTTACCAGCAGTCATTTTTCTTTTTTCGATACGTCGGTTTACTCGCACAGTCAGGCCGAGTTTTATGCCCACTTTATATGCACACATGGAACCCAGATTAATTATAAGTGTGAACCAAGCAGTAAACTGTTTAAAGACCATTTATATTGCTCATTATGAAGCCATTTATTATCTCTTACATTAAATCACACTGCATTTATGCACCGTATTGTTTTGCATTTGAAGCCCTATACTGTGCAAATAGTC